GGTGGTGGTGGTGGTGGTGGAGGAGGCCGAGGTGGTCATCATAATAATCCACGTGAACCACATCAATCACGATTTGGTTCTGATAATAATCAACCACCATGGCATGATCGTCGAGAAGGTGGACGTGGCGGTGGTGGTCGAGGTGGTTTTCATGATCGTCAACATGATATGGGCGGTCATTATCGACCTAATGAACAGTTGCCACCAGGTAACTAATTCAAAAAAAGGGTCTTTGAAAATTTTTATGTTTTTTTGTTTTTAGATAATCATCCATTTAATCGAGATGGACGACCAAATTATGATGCACCTCCACCATCTCAAAATCGACCTTTTCAAGAAAATTTTCAACCTGGAAATTATGATTCAATGGGACCAAATCAACTTAATCGAACAAATTTACAACAACAACCTAATTTTAATCAAGGACTACTACCACCACAACATAATCGTCCTGATTTTTTCCCACCAAATGCAAATAATCCATCTTATCAACAACATAATACTCGTAGTGGTGGTCGTCCAAGTCGTTTTAGTGATCGACAAGATGATTATGAAGACGATCGACCATTAACTAAACCAAATATTTCTCTACCAAATGTAACAACAACAACGGCACCACTTTACATGAATCAACCAACGAATCCAACATTTAGTCAAGCACGTCCAACAATGTCATCAACATATTCTTCTCAACAACCACCATCAGCTATGTTTTCACAAAGTGGACCACCACCATCACAATTCGGTTGGCCTAATCAACAACAACAACAACAAGGTCCACCTAATTCACAAATGACACAATCTCTTTTATCACTTGCTTCAAATGATCAACAAAATCCAAATATGTCAGGACCTCCACCACCTAGCTCATTCTATGGTAGTAGTAATGATTTTCATCGGCAACAAGGTCCACCATCTGCAAATCAATATTATTCAGGTGTACCTCCTGTTCCTCCTCAATCTGGCAATAAACCACCGAATGCGAATGGTAAATTCCTTTTCTTTTTATGATCAATTGTGATTTATTTTTCTTTGTTTGTTTTTCAGTTCCAAGTAGTTCTGCTGCTGTATCAGCACAACCAGTTCCTCCTACAACAGGTACAAATACAGCAGCAGCCAATGCTTTAAGTACAGATCCTTGGCAGCAGTATTATCAACAATATTGGTAAGAATTTAAAAGAAATTTATTGCACAAATATGTTGTTATTGTTTATTTTTTGGTATAAAGGCAATATATGCAACAACAACAAGCAGCTGCTCAACCACCATCTACTCAAATGGGTGCTCAACAACAATTTCAACAACCACAAACAGGTTTAGAATAAAAATAATTCCAAAATAAAAACGTACATAATTTGAT